TATCTATTATGTTCATTTGTTCAAAGGTGTGGTTCATTTCTGATATTTATTGATTTTTACTAGTTGATCTACTTGATATTCTGGTCCATTACAATTACACTAGTTTATCTGATATTTTAGATCCAGTATCTTTTTTAAACTTGAGTGTGCTAGTATTTGGTGCATATATGTTTATAATTGTTATCTTTTCTTGTTGAATTATTCCTTTTATTGGTATGTGGTAACCTTATTTTGTATCCGTTTGATTAGTTCAGCTACCTTTTTGTCTTCTTTAAGCTCAGTAATTATATTAAGTTCATTATCTGTTTAGTGATATCATCTTGGAGTTTGATATCTTATTGAACTGTTTTTTATTTCCTTTATTACTTTCTACATTTTGCTGCTTAGTTTTTTATTTCTTCCCCATTGATGCCCACTGGGTTAGCTTTGGAGAGTTCAAGTTTTGGAGACAGTTTGTTGTCTTGATTTTGCATTCTCTGTTTCTGTCTCTGTCTGTCTGTCTGTCTGTTTCACTCTCTCAATGTGTGTGTGTGTTTTGAGGGTTGGTCAGTTAAATTGGAAAGACTCTGTTGCCAGTATAATAAGCTCTTGAATTAGTTTCTGCTTTGCAATTTTGTAACCTTGGCTTTGGTTGCTTTTTGGTACTTGTCTGTCCCTCCCACTTAACTCAGTTCAGACCCAGTCATTGTGTTGTAAAGAGAGAATCCCTACTGCTTATATCAATATCAGCAGGTACAAACATGTATTAATTTATAGCATTTTAAAACTTGCTTTAACAATTTATTCTTTTATCAATAACCCATAAAAACAGTAATGCACTACTACTGACAGGATGTGGTGGGTAGAAGAAGGAAAAAAGGGAAAGGGGAAGTAGGTAGATCAGAAAGATGGAGAAAAGAGAAACAGCAATTGAAAGAAATGGGAGATTGAACTCTATTGATATTATTTTAATAGCTTAAGTAGACATCCAATGGAGAGAATGTGTGGGAGCAAAGAAGGAATGCAGAGGAGGAGAAATGTAATTGGAGATGGAAGGAAGCTATGACAAGGCTAGAATTTATTAATATGCTTATATTTAGCTTGTGTTTGGATCCTTTGTATTGAATTTTATTTGTTTGTATTTAATTTTGTTAAGGGATACCTGACGTGTATATGAAAGGTACTACAGATATTCCTTGTTCAATGAACTACCTGTGTAACGACTGTTCAGACGTATGACCAACCAGTCAGACTTACAACTCATCTTTTTTGTACAGTCCTGTGACTCTTGTTTATAGAGCCTCAGTATCTTTTTTTAGTACAGTTCACGTTGTTTATACAGTACTGTAATTTTTGCTGATTGTACTTTGCAATACAATACTATACTTTTATATTCTGTTATATATAACAGTACTGCATGAGTTATGCAAATAAAAAAGTCAAGTTGGAGTTTTCTTTGACTATTTCTTTGCTCTGAATATTGTAATGTACATTTACATTATGTGTATGTACAATTCCTCAGCAGCCAATTCATTTAACAGTGTCACAAGAATGTAACTTGGGGGGCTGGGGATTTAGCTCAGTGGCATAAGCGCCTGCCTTGCAAGGAGGCAGTCGTGAGTTTGATCCCTGGTACCGATAAAAAGGAAAAAGGCAAAAAAAAAAAAAGAATGTAACTTGGGGCCAGGGATGTAGCTCAGTGGCCTAAGCACCTTCCTAGCAAGTGCAAGGGTCCATCCCTGGTACCAAAAAAAAAGTAACTGGGTCATTAATCAAGGAATATGACTGTACTTGAATTAAAGCACTGGTTAATTCTCTTTCTCCATTTGTATAAGCTAAGTGAGTGGGGAACAAAAAAGAGGGAAGATAAAGGAAGGGTGGGGAAGGAAAGATGGAGGGAAAGAGAAAGCCAAGAAAAAAGGGGAAAGCCAGGTGTAATGGCACATGCCTGTAATCCCGGCAGCCAGGAGGCTGAGGCATGAGATCACTGTGCGCGTTCAAGACCAGCCTAAACTACAAAGTGAAACTCACACACACCCACACACACACATGGAAAAGCAATAACCAGCCTCCCAAAGAAACCCACACAGTTGCAAAAGTACAAAATGAAAGCATTCTCACAGTCAGCGAGTTCTTTCCTCCATGGTCACAAACGGAAAGCTTTGATCTGTAAGTGCAGAGGGGTCTGGACAGATCTTACCCGTACCCCTACTCACTGGAGAATCATGTGACCCAACATGCTGCTTCTCACCCTCTTCACTCTACAGCCAGCTCCTGCTGATCTCAGAGCTGCTCAACACCCATCATTCCTTTGCTGGTTTGTTTGGTATCAGGAATCGAACTCACAATCTTGCGCTTGTCAAGCAGGCGCTTATGCCACTGAGCTAAATCCCCAGCTTCACCCCCCATCATTTGTTCAGTTGCCTGACAGCACCCACTTTCCTGCTGATTTACAGGTAGGCCTTCTGAATGTCTGTTCTCTTCACCTGCCTGGCAAACCGTGTAGCTTCTGCGTTCTCTCCACAGCACTTCTGATCAGCGCACTGCATATCACCCTCTGGCTTCCTTTTTTGTTTTTTGCAAGGCATCCCTTGCCAGTCCCTGAACGTGAACTTGGTGTGCCTCAGCACCCCGCGGGGGGCTGGGAGCAGGGCTCTCGTGTGGGCCCCTGATGGTGGATGGTGGGTAGTGAGCAGGAGAGCCCATGGGCGCCCTCTCGGTGTTTGGGGGAAGAATGGGCAAGTGCACATTCCTGGGCTGTTTATCTAACTTCCCAGGGCCTTGTGGTTTGGTTCACTGTCTCTGCCAGCTCACCACACCCTAGCAGTGTAGCTTTTTCTGCACTCTGGTCCTGGGCCGGCACTTGTTTTCCACTTTCCCAAGAGCCTGCCAGCGCTTTCTGACTCTGCTCTCAGGTTCTGTTTGTCCAGCGCCCTGGTTTGCAGATAGCCCACTCCCTGTGTTCCTTTTCCCGGTGAGGAGGGTTGGAATATTGTGATGCTATTCCAGCGGACTGGTCTCCACTGCAGCGAAGCCTCCCTCCCTCGGGGCAGCCCTCTCCCAGGACAGCCTGCGTGCTGGACCTGGTGCAGGAGACGCCGTGGTCCAGGGGTGGTGCAGCTTCCTTTCCTCAGCGCCCTTGTTCTGGCTTTGGGGTTGGTGGGTTTCTTTAGTTTGCCTTCGCATCGCGGACTTTGCTGCCCCTTCAGAACCTCCCTCACCTAGTGCACGACTTGTCAGCCATCTGTCGGAAGATTCTGCAGACACAACGCAGTAACAAGTCCTGAAGGTGATACGGCACCCCCAGGACGACTCATCCGTGCGTGGAAGACATAAAGCAGCGAATGCAGTACACTGTGTGGTACACGTGGAATCAAGGATTAAACATCACAGGTTCACTTCAGTAAATAAATAAGACGCCCTCAAAAACCAGCATCCCTTTATGATTAAAAAAAAAGAAAACCCTGAAGAAAACAGTTATAGCAGTGTAACCGGCTCCCTGAGTCCTTGTTTGGACACAACACAAAAGGAGACGATGGAACAGCAAGCAAGCAATGGGGAACGATCAGCGTGTGAAATTAAGTTTACCTGTGCCGGACTCCGACTCTGAGTGAAGAAGAACGTTCTGATTTTACTCCAGTGCTTCGATTATTGTGATAAATTTTTCAAACATAAATAACCTGTTTTAGCTGGGCGTAATGGTGCACACTATAATTCTGGCCCTCCGGAGGCTGACGCAGGAGGAATGCTGGAATTGAAGGACAGCGTGGGCTACATAGTGAGTTTTCTATGGCCAGCCTGGACTGCATGGCGAGATCCTGTCTCAAAAAAGGAAACTGTTTCATGATTGGAGAACTTGTCTGTTTCCCCATAGTTTTGATGTTTTACACTTACATAAACCTGAACTTTCTACTTGATATTTATGTTTTAATACACGTTAGCTGCTTTATTTGAAGAATTAGCAGATTTAATTTATAGCCAATGAGATAAAATACAGAAATTAGAATATATGTTAGTGAAATTTATTTCTTCATCAAGAAATAATTTATTTCTTCATCAAGTAATTTAAGGCAGCTTGTCTTGTTTAATGTTACTCAGGTTTTCTAAGATTTATCATACAATCTGAGTAAATGTACTTTAATGTTTACTAATTATGCTTTAAAACCGAATTGGTTGCTGAGTTAACTTAGGTATCCATTTTTATAAGGTACAGATCATTGAGAAAAGACAGTACAGGTGTGTGATGTTCAATGCAGAGCCCTGGGCTGAGGCTGTGGCTGAGTGCAGGGTGCTTGCCCAGCACGTGTGAGGCCCTGGGTTAGATCCCCAGGCTGGGGTGTGGGGCGAACAACCTGAAAGAAACTTTCAAAGCAGCAGAAATGATGGATAATGTATTTTGTAAAGATTTGAGGTTTTATCTTCTCCATGAAATTCTGTTTTTTAAGTTAAGTTATATGTAGCTTTTTACTAGGTAGCTGTATCATTAAAAATTTCCTTCTGCAATCTGTTCAGGTAGTTCCCTATGTGTTACCTTTCTCAGTTGCACCTGCTTTTCATCTGTCCCCCATCGGTATTGGATGTGTGCCTGCGTTTAACATACTTCTTGTGTAGTGTACATGGGATGAAGTTATATATAAAGATTAAAAATGTGTGTAAGACCTGCCCCCTCAGCTGTGCTGGGACCAAATCCCGGCCCGTGCCTGCTGAGACCATTCTGCCACTCTGCTACACTTCCCGCCCCAGGCAGGCCTAATTTGTGATGAGTTGGTTAATATCCTAATTACCCAGTTGGCTTATCTAAGCGCTGTCTTCTCAAAAGTTTGGAATATAGCCTAGAGATATGTCCTAGTCCTCATTTTGTTTTCTTCCCATCCCCTTCTTTTCCTTTTAAAATGTAATCTTAATGCTGAGCTATTCTTTATGAAGTACAGCTTTTTTTTCAGAGATTGATACGTATCACCTATGGAAGTGGAAGCGTCATAACAGGGCAATTACTACTTTTGAATTTTGTCTTTGTTTAGCCACAGCACCTTCTATCCACATCTGGGATGCGGTGAACAAACAGACTTTATCTATCCTAAGATGTTACCATTCAAAAGGAGTGTGTTCAGTCAGCTTCAGTGCCACCGGCAAACTGCTGCTGTCTGTGGGACTGGACCCCGAGCATACCATTACCATCTGGAGATGGCAGGAAGGTAGGATTCTTTTTGTAATGTTTTTAAAGCACAAATGCTTAAAAAAAGAAAAAGAAAAAGAGTGTGGTGACACATGCTTTTAATTCCAGCACTCTGGAGGTGGAGATAAGAGGATCATGAATTCAAAGCCAGCTTAGGCTATAAAGGGAGACTGTCTCAAAAAAAAAATACACACACACACACACACACAAATAAGAAATCTGTATTTAAATTGGTGAAAGTATTATTCACCATAGCCCAGAGTTGGTGGGACTGTAGGTGTTTCATTTTAAAAACCCAGTGAAACAGCCCACAAAGCATAAATTAACAAAACCATTAGGATGATTCACAGGCTGTGGCAGATCAGAGACTCAACGAGCAAATATGTCATTTGCGTGTGATGTGAATTTAAACTCTACCTAGTGAATGACAAGAAAGCGGCTGAGCATGTGTGCTCTCGGGTGGTAGGAAGGAGGAGGGGAGTGCTTGTCCTCCAGGTTCCCGGCCCTGCCAGAGTTTTGCTGAGCCGCCAGCAGTCCAGGACACTTTGTGGAAAGCCACTGGCAGACATTTCTCACCTTTGCAGACAGTTTAGTTTCTGTCAGCCTCTGGATTCCGCTCTTACAGTTCAGATTAGTAAGACAACATAGAAACAAGCGTTTTAGTAAAATTTTATTTATGGATATCAAAATAAGATATTTCCTCATTTAGAAACTGTTTGATTTGGTTGATTCTGGAGGAAGTTAAGAATGAAGATGAAGCATGTGTTTGTGTCTTCTGTTCAGGTGCCAAAATTGCCAGCAGAGCTGGGCACAACCAGCGTATTTTTGTAGCAGAATTCCGACCAGATTCAGATACCCAGTTTGTTTCTGTGGGAGTAAAACATGTGAAGTTCTGGACACTGGCAGGAAGGGCCCTTCTTAGCAAAAAAGGGCTGCTGAGCACACTGGAAGACGCCCGGATGCAAACCATGCTCGCCGTGGCTTTTGGTGCAGTATGTCTCTTAACATGTTGCATGTGGTATCGTTTTGCCTACTTTAAACTGTGTTCCTTTAGAGAAGGCACATTAATGTTGTGGGTATGGCATTGTAATTGCTAATCATTACGTGTCCTGGTCTTGCGTACACTTGATCGCTCAAACATCTGATACTTCCAGAAATTAAGGAGTGGGAAAATTAATCAGGATTATGATGAGACATTCTTTGCATTGGGCCACTGATATTCTCCAAGGCCTGCATTAGTAGTCTCAAAATGAGTCTTCCTAGTGGTTCCTCATGCGTCTAAAAATTTGACAGAGTAAAAGAAAGTTAAATCAAGAAGCATAATTTTCACATCTTAAGGTCAGACTTGGGTTTAGGTTCCCTTTGCTGTCTCTAAGTCCCTGCTTACATATCTGTTGGAAGCGCCCTCAGCCAACTCAAGGCAAGAAAGGGAAAGACACAAAGGAGAGTGGGCGCACCATCCTGGTTTCAGTGCAACAGTGTGCAGACGCGCTCTCCCTCTCCCGCCGCCAGCCCTGCGGTCCTGGGTGCAGGACACATCTCCTCCCTTCAGAGTCCTGCCCCGCAAAGGCTGCTTACATCCTTTGGTGCAATAAAAAATGCAGCGGGATACCCTTATTTGTGGGTCTGTGTGAGAATGAAGTATTTGAAGAAAAAAATTGGAAGTTTAGTACCCTTAAGCTTTTGAGAAAAAGACCACTGAAAATGTTGGTGATAGTATGGCAAATTTCTTTTTTTTTTTTTTTTTTTTTTTTTTTTTTTGTCTTTTTCCTTTTTATCGGTACCAGGGATCGAACTCAGGACTGCCTGCTCGCAAGGCAGGTGCTTATGCCGCTGAGCTAAATCCCCAGCCCCCGTTAAGTTTCAACTGAACATTTTGAGTATTCATAATACGATACCAGTAGTTTGCTTTCAGAAGAAAATTCCACACATTCACTTATGTCTTTATTATGCTTCATTAATTTGCCTTGTAAATGAACTTTCTCCAGGTATAAAATTCCTGTGTAGTTAACTGCCCGTTCCCAATAAACTTGATGAGTAAAATATTAAAAAACAAATGCAGTCACTGAGAATGTTTTTATGTTTACAAATTTACATTGGTTTAAACTTTAAAAATTTATTTAGCTGATATGTAAAAACATAAAAATTGTACACATCTGTGGGGTACTGCATGTTTCTTATTTAAACATTTTGAGTCTACGCAAGGGACTATAAAGAAACAAGAGGCTCAGCACTCAGGAGGGCGAGGCAGGAAGATCACTGTGAGTTCAAGGCCAGCCTCAAGTATGTAGCCAGACCCTGTCTCAGAAACACAAAGAAAAAGAGAAGGGAAATATTGTTCTCTGTACCTGAAGCATTTACATTCTGATTGCAGATATCCATGAAGTATTGATACTTCCAGATCTGAGTTAGAGAGTTCTGAAAAACCCCTATGAATTTGATATAGATTGTAGTGCTACTTTCTGGGACAAAATTCTACCACTCCTAATAGAAAATGCTCCTCACTTCCTATTCCTATTCTCTCACTGTCACAGACTAGTGTGACCTTTAAATTTTTTATGGGCAGCCAGAGGGAAGCAATTCCAAAGGAACGGTCTAAACTAGAATCCAGTATTTTAGAACTGGAAAATTGTCCAGGGTTATTCCAGCTGCTGAGTGACAGCCCTGGAGAAGGAAAAGGCCCCAGACAGGGGCTGGTCTCCTGCCCTGAGAGGCCTCCCACCTCGCCCCGCATGCACTTGGTATCAAGCGGAGGTAGCATTACCCCGGCATAGACAATTGCATCTGTTTGAATTCTCTGAACTTTTGATGAGTTTGTCTCCCCCTTTCCCCACTCCTTTTCAGAATAACTTGACGTTTACAGGTACCATCAGTGGTGACGTGTGTGTGTGGAAGGATCACATACTGTGTAGAGTCGTGGCCAGAGCTCACAACGGGCCTGTGTTTGCCATGTACACCACCCTGCGAGACGGACTTATTGTGACTGGTGGCAAGGAAAGGCCGTGAGTTCTTTTTCTTTCTGTAGCCTGAGCGCTTACACCTCTGCCGGACCCAGGTTTGCAGTTAGGTGCTGCTGCCGTCTCTGAGCTCCACAGCCACTGTGGCCGGCCACGTTCCACACATGCTTTCCGTAGGGCCTGACGTTGCCTTCTCTGGATTCTTATTCCTGGTCTTAAATCACATCCATGTGTTTTAAACCTGGACTCCAGGAGGGGTGGTGCTGCTTCTGTCACGTGGCCAGGCCAGGCGATGGTCCTACAAACTAAGAGCGGATTTTCCTTGCGAGCCATGGTGATGCATGCCAGTCAGCTAGTGTGAGGCAGGAGGAGCTCAGGTTTAAGAGCAGCCTGGGCAAGTTAGGAAGACCTTGTCTCAAAAGTACATTTTAAAAAGCATGTCGCCCACAGGCAGTGTTTGTCCCTGATGCATGAGGCCATTGGTTCAATCCCCAGGAAGTAAAACTGATCTCCCTACTGTATGCCAGCGTCAGTACTTGGTGCGCAAAGGGGGCGTGTGGGAGTGTTTACCCCTGAAGCGGACTCTCCTGTGGACACTCGGAGCTGAGGGACACAGCACACAGTGGTGGGAGAAAGCCACGAGGGTGTCTCACAGACTTGTTTGCTTTCTGCTTGAGGCAAGCTTGTTACATAAACTGCTTCCTTTCTACAAGACCTCAAAATGTAAACATGATGGAGTAGTTCTAGTTCTCCCAACAGTAACCACACTCAGGTTACAGCACAGTCATCTGCATGTTGAAATGTGACATGTAAGTGACTAAAACTGTAAGGTAAATACAATTGTGTATTTCCTTTTTCTTTTTCTTTCTTTTTTTTTTTTTTTTTTGTGGGTATCAGGAATCAAACTTAGGACCTTGCAATGGCCAGGTAGGCACTGCATCACTGAGCTATATCCCCAGCCCTATGAAAGATAACTATTATAGTACACAAGCATGTTTCATCCTAAGACAAGCAAAATCATCTAACAAAATGAAGGACATCTTTGAGTTATCTGAAGAGAAAATGAATGAATGAATGAGGAAAACTAAAAACAAGCTGGTTGTGGTAGTGCACGCCTGTAATTCTAACACTCGGGAGGCTGAGGCAGGAGGACTGCCACTACACAGTTTAAAGCTGGCCTGACCTACATAGCAAGACCCTGTCTCAAAAAAAAAAAAAAGTGGGCTATAATTTCTGAATATTACTCCAACGTGTGTCCCACATCGCCATGTTTTGTACACTCAGTAACCCACTAACCTGTTTGCATAAGTTCCATAGGTAGAAAAAAAAAAGTTTTTCCTCAGTCCTGAGACTTGATCCCAGAACCTTCCTACTGAGCTCTATCTTTAGCCCCTTTTGAGACAAGGTCTCACTAAGTGCTCCCCAGCCAGGCTCAAATTTGCAGTCCTCCTGCTTCACCCTTCCAGAGTGCAGGGGTTATAGCTGTGTGCCATCACAGCCTTAAAAGTAATCCACAGCATAGCATCTGTAACCTTACCTCACTTTGCATGTTACTTTTCATGTTAAAAATTACTTTGTATCTTTCTTAAGTATTACAAGAGGATAATTTATGATAAAGGCTAATAAAAATATTCTCGTGTCAGAAAAAATACTTCACAAAATAAAATGTACAGAAACTGATTTTCCTTCTGAGATGCATTATATCCTGAAATTGCCACTGGATGTTTAAGATAAATTACAAGTATCAAGGCTTTTAAAATATTCTGCTTCGAACTCAGTACACTCAGGACACAGTAACTCAGAGTATTTGTAGTAGTAACAAACTCTTTTCCGGGTATGGCTTTTCATTAGGTCAAAGGAAGGAGGCGCAGTTAAACTGTGGGATCAGGAGCTGAGGCGATGCCGGGCCTTCAGGCTCGAGACGGGCCAAGTCACAGACTGTGTTCGCTCCGTGTGCAGAGGCAAAGTAAGACGATCCTGAGCCCATCCGGGCAGAAGCAGCTGGAAAAGTTTTTCTCTGATTCTGTCACCCTTGTAACTCACGAGCAGTGATAATACAGAATGACAGTTTGCTTGGCCATCACTCTGCAGTCTCCATAGGTGGGGCCAGTGCAATGCAGACCAAAAGCGTCCTCTGAACACTGTATCTAAACCCCCATGCTGTCGTCAGTCTGCTAACTCGGCTGTGGTGGTCCACAAGCTGAAAACCCTTGCCTGTTAATGCATGTGATTAGAGCAGCTGTCTTCATTTAACATTATATATGTCATAAAAATTGAGTCTGTATGCTCTCATGTATTTATAAATCATACAGTCATATTAGTTAAGCTTTATATATTTTCACTAAACATGAGTTGTAGTTCTTACATCCCAATGCATTTATGCACTTTTAAAAATTTAAGGTCATATTGACAAATCCAGGCACAGTCCCATAGAGAAGAGTTCTGTGTTTCACATGAACTCTGCCATGCAGCCCAGACCAGCGCTGTGTCCCTGCAGTCACAGAAAACGATGCATGCATGAAGTTTGTGTTGAGAGCTTATGACTAAATCAGCTCAAAACACAGGATGGCTGCATGGCAGCAAAGGTACTGGTCCCACTTGTGTTTCAGGGCAAGATACTAGTTGGGACAAGGAACGCTGAAATAATTGAAGTTGGAGAGAAAAATGCAGCGTGTAACGTCCTGGTTAGTGGCCACGTGGACGGCCCAATCTGGGGACTGGCAGCACACCCTTCCAGGGAGCTTTTCCTCTCCGCTGCAGAAGACGGCACAGTGAGGCTGTGGGATGTCGCTGGGAAAGTAGGTACAGTTTCTAAAGGAATCAGTCTCAAAAAAGCGGGCTTTTAAATTGCTGCACCTAGAGAGCTTGTAACTGAGGGTGGGGAGACTGGCTGAGTTTGTAAGAACTACCCAAGTGTAGTTCTCTGTGGTGGTTTTGCTTCTTACGCAGATGTTAAACAAAGTGAACCTGGGCCATGCTGCTCGGACTGTGTGCTACAGCCCTGAAGGAGACATGGTGGCTATTGGAATGAAAAATGGAGAATTTATGATTTTACTTGTGAGCTCACTCAAAATATGGGGAAAGAAGAGAGACAGACGATGCGCAATCCATGACATCAGGTTAGTCAACGAAGAGTAAAATTTCTAATTTCAAATAGAATAAAGGACCCAGCTTACATTTGGAAACCACCTCTACCCATAGCTTCAAAAATGTTCTGACAGCCTACAGCATTTTGCATCACTAAGTGTATACCGCAGTATGGCTGTTTGTATGCTTATTTAATTTTACTTGCTAAATCATGACTCTACGTGGGTACTAGCTGCAGGGTTTTATAAGTACTGGGTAATGTTTGTAAGTATCACACTAGACATGCAGTAAATTCCCTTTATCAAGAAATATCTCCACTAATACAAAAGTTCACTTACCTGCCCTTTAGAACTTGGAAAATCAAAAGTTACAGCTCCATGTAACATACCTTCTCTTTACCCAATTAAACTTCATGCTTTTCCTTTGCTGCCTGGTATGAGCTTTTGGAGTCTCATTTCTGGTTATTCTCTCAAACCAGTATGCACTGAAAGAACATTTACTGTGTCCCAGGGTCTGAATTAACCTTGCCATGAACTTTTCTTTCTCAGTGCTTTAATACTAATACTTAATATTTTATCAGTAAAGAGATTATTGAATCCAAAAAATGAGTACAATATTTTTATAAAGGAAACCTCTTCAGAACCTCACCATCTTAATAGTGTGACAGTGGCTTTCTGTAGCCCCTGCCTGTCTCTAAAATATCCAGACTTGTGGGACATTTTCAAAGACTTGATTTTGTTCCTAAAGTACCTCATTAAAGCATATTCAAACACTGCCAGGGTCTAGTGCTGCCCCTGTGACCTGTATGCAAACAGTATTTCACTGTCTTCCAAGCTTCCAATTCAACTCTAATTACCTGACCTGCATTCTTTGCTATCCAGTTTTTCAGATCAAAGAACCAAGATTAACATATTTTTTACATTTTGTTGCATATTCAGATTTAGCCCAGATTCCCGGTACCTGGCAGTGGGTTCTAATGAGAACTCGGTGGATTTTTATGACCTAATGCTGGGACCCACCCTTAACAGAATCAGCTACTGCAAAGACATCCCCAGCTTTGTCATTCAGATGGACTTCTCCGCAGATAGCAGGTATCTCCAGGTACAGCACCAGCAGTCGCTCCTCTTTTACAAGGGTTCTTCCTGCTTGAACATTTTGTGAGTGCATTTAGGCCCCTCAGCTCCTCCACTCCCAGTTCCACAGCTTCAACTTTTGCCTTTACTGTTCAGTTTATGCATTAATTCTGTAATACCTCATGGGGGAGAGGGGTTGTATTTATTGGGGATTGAACCCTGGGCCTTCACACATCCCACCCCTTTTGAGGGTCTCAAGTTGCTCAGGCTGGGCTTAAACACCAACCCTCCTACTCCTATTCTCTTAAATTTTAACACAAAATAATGCAAAGTATGTTATAAATACATATATACAGTACAGTAAAAAAGTGTTTATATACAGCAAATTAAGGTTCATCACCTCTGGGACCTAGTTTTTGGCTTGGGTGTAAATTTCTCAGCACGGCTCCCTGAATTCCTCACCTTGTACATCAGCTCTTGGACTTTACCCATGTGACCCAGGCATCTGCTGCTCTAATCTGTATATCTTTCCACGTCCTCCCCACTGAATCCATGCCTGCCTGCCTTGTTTGTAGGGTTTTGCAAGCTTTACGTTAAACATGTAATCATGTAGCTGTCCTAGCTATCTGCTAGGATTCTGAAAACCCTGTGGACTGCGCCTTTACCTAACACAATTCTTGTCCTGTTCTGCTATGATCAAAGGTCTCCAGTGGCTGCTATAAGCGGCATGTTTATGAAGTACCTTCTGGAAAACATCTTCTGGATCATGCAGCCATTGACAGAATTACCTGGGCTTCATGGACTAGGTAAATGCTGATACTTAGAAGGAAAGAGTTACAGTCAGGCATGTTGGAAAAACCCATTTCTAAAGTTAGAGGCATTCTCTAGGGAATAGGAAGAGTTCGTGTTTTATTAACTATGCCTTGAATTGTTAGGATGAGAACTATGTATGTTCACAGTCAGGGCTCCTTTTGATTAAACGTATTTCTGTCCCTTATCAGATTTAAAGGAATGCTTACCTCAAAGTTGTTAGAAGTGAATTTTATAAATTTGTTCAAATTTGCAGACATGTGCCTGTGATGTCCACTGTTTAGACACTGGAAAATGTCATTAAATTCCTTTTTTCTTTGTCTTTTTGAGACAAGGTCTCTCTATGCAGTTCAGGCTGGCCTTGAGCTCACTTTGTACCCCAGCCTGGTCTTGAACTTGCAATGATTCTCTTCTCTCAGCCTCCCGAGTGCTGGAATTACAGCTGTATGCCACCATGCTCGGCATTAAATTTCTATTAAGTACTCCAGTCATCTTTTGTCAGATACTGAATTATAATCTTAATCTTAATTATAACCTTAATCTTAATAAACCTTTCAAATTATAAAATTTCTAAAAGCTGAGAGGGAATGAACAGCTAGATGAAATGCAGGCTGTGACATGATTGGGGAGAGACTGGCGAGTCCATCTGGTAAGCCTGCCAGTGTTTGCTGTGGTGGTGGATGTGTTTTGTCTTCAGTATTTTAGGGGACGAAGTCATGGGAATCTGGTCCAGACACGCTGAGAAAGCCGACGTCACCTGTGCCTGTGTATCTCATTCAGGCATCAGCCTTGTCACAGGAGATGACTTTGGCATGGTTAAACTATTTGACTTTCCATGTCCAGAAAAATTTGTAAGTTTGTATTATTTTGTATTTCACAATCATATTACTCCTTATGTAGAGGCCCAAAGATTAAGTTTCTGATATTTAACATTTTATCCTGATTTGAAAAATACTGTACTTTTAAATTAGTATTTAAAAATTTTTAATTTTAATAAGAACTACTAGAAACAAATCCCTCTCTCCAGCAATGCTATTTATGGAAAACTAATCAAGTTCTGGTGAACTTTTTACAAAATCATTCATCAGACTTTAAATACTTTTCCTCAAAGAAAAATTTTCAAAGATCAAGAGACACTTGACTGCCCAAAAAAGCTGGTGTGTTAAATGCAGATAATCTCTGCCCGTGCAGTCGCAGCTCCGCCCTCTCCACAGTTCCTCACAGAAACCTCTGCATTTGAGTGCATCAGATACTGAGCTTTCTTACTGCTTTTTTTTTTTTAGGCAAAGCATAAGCGGTTCTTTGGTCACTCAGCCCACGTGACAAACATCCGGTTTACAAGTGGTGACCGACATGTTATTAGTGCTGGAGGTGACGACTGCAGGTCAGTAATGTCCTGGCCCCAGAAAAGTAGACCTTTACTAGTTAAAGAGCCCTGATCCAACACTTCCTGTATCCCGGTTCCTGCACACACTCACATCATCATCAGGTGACATGGCCACATGGCTCCTCGGAGTCATGTGTGCACATACAGGATAAAAGGACTTATTAACAAGGAAAAATTTTACACCTATGATTTTGAACCCTCAACTTAAAAAACATTAAACTGTTTTACAAATCTAAAATGTTATCAACTGCCTTTTTTATTGCAGTTTATTTGTCTGGAAATGTGTGCATATGCCTCACTAAAAGATACAAATACTCAGAAGGCTACATAAACTAAGAGCATCGAGAGACCAGAATTAAAGAGAGAAAAAACCCAAAACCAAACTCTGCGTGGACAAGTGGTGCTAACTGAAGATGGTAACAGGGAGAAGTGCACAGGATGACCAAAACAGACTGCTGAGTTCAAAATGTTTGCTATATGCGTTAACTATCCATAACCCACACACTGCCAGAGAACCATGTTTCAGGAAGACTGAATGCGTAGAGCAGACCCCCTTTACTCAGTGTATGTGCGACTTTGCAGACCTGCTGGGGAGAATGGAGGTTCGGCACTGCTCCAAAACTCTCCCAAAGTTAGAGAGCTGGGGCGGAACTCAGAATGTGTGAAGCCCTGGGATCCCACCCAGCACTACCAAAAATAAAAGTTTTTTAAAAGCCCCAATTTGCAAAACTTAGCAACACTGTTTCTTTTAGCACTTTTATTATTAAGGTTCACCAGCCAATGAAACAATCTTTTCCTTGCATTTCTATTAGGAAAGAAAGAACTACCATCACCCTAAAGGATCATGTTTCAAAACACATTTTCCATAGGAAACAGCTTCCCTAGAAACTTTCTTAGGCATCTAAAAAGTTCTTTTCATAAGGACACTTCCTTCCCTTACAGTCTGAGTTCACAAACAGACCCAAGGTCAGTGACATGAGTGACTGCACATGTTCATTTCTGGGCAGTCAACCTTTTGATGTTTAGAACCCATGTCTGTTACTGAAACTGTGAACATGACTGTAGCCTCACCAATGGGAAAGTAATATGGCGAATTACCATTTGCACTTGCAAAGGTTTTTTTTTTTTTTTAAGAGAAAAATGACATGTAAAGATGCAGTCTAATGTGTACACATTTACCATAAACCAGTGGTGGTGAACCCACGGCACACAGGCTACCACAGGCTGTTGATATCATTGAATGCTCTAAAAGGTTCACCATCACTGCAAATGCGTTAAACTCATAAATTATATCACACAATTTAGTAATCCTTGGGATAACATTTTTATAACTTTTTTTCTGTGGAGAAAGTCTGTTTAGGTGTGTGCCACTCCGTAGGCTGATTTCCAAAATGAATGAACCCAGGTTCATTTTGAAATATCTGTCAAACAATTTGTTTTTAGTGGACTGGGGCTAGATTCTTAATCCTTTTCACTAAATGCTGCCAAAGATCTGTATTCATCATTCAGGAATTTGCTCTTTAGCCTGTATGTAATTTCTTGAAGGCTGAAAATTATGTAGATTGATGTTTAAAAATATATTTTTCTATGTGTGAAGCAGCTGGAAGATGCTTTCCTGGTACTATCAATTTTTACTGTGTTACTCTTTGTAGCATAATGTACCCGCTTGAGCCTGGAATGCCCCGTTTGGTTTGACACCACACATCACAGCTCCACAGTCTGTATGGCCAACACTTTGGGATGCCATGAACAGACAAAAACTAAATCAGTATCACAGCCTAACCAGTGACTGAACTGCATCAGTTTAAAGCTGAACAGCTGTGCCAGGACTGATTAAAAAGTCAAGAAGCTTGAAACTTAAAACTATACCATTGTTATTCACCTCAAAGGATTCTGCTAAATTAAGCTGTGTTTTAGAATACAGTAATATTAAATTTCTATTCAGCATATTTTATAAAGTGGTAGGCAGTGAATTAAAGGATTCATGGACATTTTCTCATGAAAAAAAGTCAAAATTCCAGCCTATTGTTTTAAATTTTCCCTTTGGGCCAACTTTACCAACTCTTGGCTACAGAGAAATTTCAAGTTTCACTATACTTCAGGTATAGTATATAGCATAAAGCTGGTTCCCCTGCATTTTTATCCTTCACAGTGGTCAACTCATGTCCACTTTTACCTCCGCTGTGGTCAGTTTCCTGACTGAAGATCACGCTGCTCCAGTTATCTGATGACCGTCTGGTTGTGTTATCCATCGACTGAGGTGAAGAGACATGACAGACCACACAAAATCTGCCACATCCATATCTACTTTAACCTTAAAAAAATTATTTTTGTGTGGAATAATCTCTGGAATTGACCCGTCTCCTGCTGGGCATCCCAAGCCCTGCTGATTCTGTGTGGATAAACACATGCTCACACACACCAGGCACTCTGCTGGTCCTCACTTCATTGTTGCTCGTCCCCTTCCTTTGTGACCCTTTACAGTGGTCTGCTTAGACCATTTTACTCAGCAAGTGTTTTTAGGGTCAGCATTAAGCTGGCCATAAACCTCAGTAACTGAAGATGAACTCTTCTTTCCAGCCAGTGTCAAAATAGTGCATCAGACTCAGATTTTTGGCATGTGAAAAAAAGTGAGCTAAACCACTAAGCCTTTGTTCCCTACTCCCTATGTGGTCTTTATAGTTGTGTTCCCACAGTCACAATATAAACCAGTTATAAATAATGATACTTAAAAATCTCCAGAAATTTAGACAATTTAAAACCAGTTTCTTCTGCACAGATGCAAAACTTCAACCCTGGGATGAATAAATGCCTTAAATTCAGTGGAGTACACGCAGAAGGAAACAAGACTGTCATCTCACTGAAGCCTAGTGTAACACGGTAGCGTTATGCCCTATGTGCTCTTTTTCTTCTTCTGCTGTTTCAGGTGTTTATTTTGGGATCGGCACAGCCAAGCGCAAATTATCAAAAGGTTGAGAGACTGAATCTTGAATGGAAAGACAATAACCACAATAGAAGGCTGGCTTTACAATCGTAAACATGGACTTTCAGATTAGGGTTTATTATCCATCCTTTGGGTGTATAACTAAACAAGGAAATGAATTTTCTGTTACAATTAATTTGGTCCTGAAAAATGTTCGAGTCTTTATTATCCCTTTTGTATTACTCTTTACTAACCACCTTTTAACCTTTGATTTTTAAATACTTAGTATATATATAGTCTTTGAAATCTGTTATTTAAGTCTACAGCATTTCACACTTCTTGCCTTAACACTTTTAAAAACACACAAAACTACGTAATACAGTAGGCCAAGTTTTGTTCTATTCTGCAGTTTACCAATTCTGATCTGTAATTATATAGTTCTGCCATTTAAAATATACTAAAATCTAGTTTTAACTTTCCAAAAATTATCTTCAGTAGTAGCTAAGTATATTTTCTGTGGAGTTATTTCTGAGAATGTTATTTTTCAGAATGTGGGAATATATATGTATATTTATAATCTTGTAAATTTAAAGTCTGTTTTCTGATATCTTATGTATATACTTGTAAAAAATTTTGTATAATTTTGTGATAATGTAGTTCTCCCCAAATTTAAAAAGTGTATGTTAACAGTGAATGAAAGCATTTTGAGGAATTGTTCATATTTTTCCACTTATCACCGCACGCCACCTAGCTCCCTTCACAGAAGGCACAGAACTGAAAGACAATTTTACCCAAGTGGCACTCAAATTGAAATGCCTGTGACATGCTTTTCAAACTAAGTTCATTTAAAATTTTAAAAGCACAATCTGAATAACTATTTAAAACCCCTCAATATTTTCAGTCGTTGCCGTTTTCATGGTAGATCTGGGAGAAGTGAGAGCAGCATCAACCGTGGCAGTGACTCTGCCCCGCTCAGCAGTGCAGCCCTGGACCGCGCTCCATGCACAGGGACAGCACTGCCTCCCTGCGGATGCTGACACAGCGGGCACAGACAGCCTGGAGGCAGCCATTCCTTTCAACCCTTCTCATACCAAAAACAAAATAACAAAAGAAAACACCCCAAGTTAAACCGCTTAATAATAAACTTACAAACTTGAAAAATTAGACACTTCAGATAGGCAATAAAGTTCATATTATGAAAGCAATGTATTCCAAGTTTCAAAGATTTGACAAGTTCTGTAGATTATCTTTCATCAGTAGGAAGAACCTTTCAAACTGCATGATCTTCTGCCAGGTAGGACTGGGGATCATTCACTGAATAAACAAAACCAAAATTTTTTTAAATTAACTGTTTTGCATTCATATGTACCACATATACCTCAGCTAAGAGGTACTTTTACACAACAAATACTGTTCATCAGATTACAGTATTAAAACCAGATTTTATAAAAACTCAAATACGTAGAAAGCAGTTATAATCTAATCCAGTTTATGGGTCGTTCTAAAATATTCTAAGGCTTCCTTTAGTTTACCAATGCTAATGACTAAAACTTGATCTGATGTAAGCAGCACACACACATTCCAGCTGGACTTAGTGTACGTCTGCACAGCAAGATTAGACGTTACAAAGAAATGAGATGATTACTTTTAAAAAATGTAAAATGTAATCACTGGATAAAATTAAACAGCAGAGGAAAATGTGCTAGGGCTGACTTCCCCCAAATTGGTGTGCTCACACACTTACAAGCTTCTACATTATAGCAAAGTATCTGAAAATTACCAGACTTAATTGTCCTCTTTACCTGGTCTGAGGTCGGATCCACTTCAAGGCGTGTCTCGGTGGCACAGTGATGGTGGGATGATAAAATGTGCAGTCTGGTCTCGTACACTGAGTGTTGAATCTACAGTGCTGAACAGAAACGCAGACTGTCAGTGACACTCCTCAGAGGAGCACAACATCCGCCTCACTACTACTGAAGCTTAGGAAATGGATTTCCTGAAGACACAAAATCTTTAAGAATCACAGCAAGTAAAACTTCAAAAGCAAACTGAGCATACAGTACACACTTCTCACCCCTCACTCTTCTGAGTACCCTGGCGTCCCAGACACAGCGGGGGAAATGACCTCTCTTTGGAGTGGGGAGCACAGATGCACACTAAACAAGCACTCTACCAACTCAGCAACACCCTACCCAAAAACCCTTTCATATACAACAGTCTTCAGGCTGCTTTTTTCAAAGATCAACCTGGATAGCCAAGCAGTTGGAGAGACAACAATCTTTTGCACAAAAAAATGTGTTTAAGTGGTACTACTGAGTTTCACCTCAGTATTAGCATGAGGTTTAAAAAAAAAAACACCCACACACTCAGCAACAGAAAAGATTATAGTGCTGTGCCCCGCAAGAGCTTAGCAAATTAATATAAGTGTTTCAGCTCACTTAGCCTAAGGGCCAGGCAGACCTCTGCAACAGTAAGGAACAACTTACAGATTCTAAAGACCGTGAAGTTTACTCTGACCACAGAACAAAGGCGGAAAAAGTAAAGACATGCGAGGCATTCAATGTCTTAGTGAGCTTCCGGACCCGAGACCGAGCAGCTACCACTTAACTGACACTTGGGAGAATAAATATTCTTACTTTTGGATGATAGAAAGGACATTCCATTTTCTTACAAGCTGGGAAGTAACGGCAGAGCTGACTGGTAGAAGGAGATGCCGTTGTTGTAACTGCTGACAAAAAGAATGAACACTGGTCAAATCTGCAGGTTTGTAGGTCCAGAAATGGAACCCAGAGGCCCTCTGGCACTGAGCTCATGTCTCCAGCTCTCATTTTATTTTGACACATTAGTCTCAAAGTTGTGATTCTCTTACATCAGCCTTCCCAATAGCTGGTACTACAAATGTTCACCACACTCAGATAAAATAACTTTTAATGTTGTCTACTGATGCTGTTACAGAAGTGACAGTCATTTAAATTAGAGCTTCATGTTTTATGTATGCTTTAGTGGTATGGAGTACAACACAATGGGCATAGCTGCTCTTCAGCCAATGGTAAGACTCGCCAGCATGGAGGCACACACCTGTCATGTGAGAGGCGGAGGCAGGAGGATCACTATGAGTTCAAGGCCAGCCTGGGCTACACAATGAGCACAAGACTAGCCTGCACTACATGACTCAACCCTGCCCCAAAAAAGCACTAAATGAACGAATGGATGAACACAATACTGATAACATTAATTGATCCAGTTTTTATTTCTAAAAACCTATTCTTTCATTCCATTTACAGGTAGAAAATGCCCTTTTCTATTTTTTCACCCAAATGCAGTAGTGCACAAAAATCACTAACCTGGTTTTGGAGGCAGCACTGGAATTCTTCTATTGATGTGAGTGAAGGGACAATCAGGTTTAGTACACTTTGCATCGTATTTACAATTTGGATGAACAAACAAACATTTTTCAGCAAATTTACAATTGGGGAAGGCTCTATAAAACAAAAGCATAGGTAAGTCATAGTCATAGTTAAAGCAGTATTAGTTTTTTTGTAGTCTTTTTAAACTCTTGTTTTGAAAAAATGGGAAAGTGACAGAAAAACACAAAATAGTAATTTTTAAATGAAGCCAAACAACACATAGGATGGAACTATTTCAAAGTCTTAAGTTACACAAAGAGGCTTCCATTTGAAGCCAAACCATTAATAAAAGGCAGGTGCTTTTTGGTGATGAGAGCTACGCTCTTCATCAAGTAAGATCTGTATCTTACGAAGTATATTCGATACAGTACACACATCCTACGCACAAAGCACTGTGCTCTAAGATTCATCCGTTTGGTCTCCTCATGTATATAATGGTATTATTCCAACACCAAAACTTCTTTGAAGTAATTAGAACATGAGATGTTGCATCTGGTAAAGCTCTAATAATTAAACCAGCCAGCTAGTAAGAAAAACATTGACCCAAGTGTAAAGTGCTTTCTTCCCAGTCCTTCGACATAATTGGGGTGTCTGTGAACAAAACACACACTAACTGTACCTATCTCCTCAAATGTAGAGTCCTCACAAGAGGCTAAGTACCAAGAGCACCCTCCTGCACACACACACACACGCACACACACACGGCTGCTCCAGGGAGAGCTCCAACAGTGAGTGTCACTGCCTGTAGTTATGAAACTCAACCACAATAAATAAATAAAATGGCCTGTGAGACACAGAAAACCTGAACACCAGCCTCAGTCTGAAGTCACTCACTTGCAAGGTGAAACGGGATGGTGGTATGCGCACTCGTCTCCGTTTTTACACGCAGGCCAGTACTTGCAGCGCTCCAAAAGCTTCTCTGGCTTCTGTGCCACATTCAGTTCACTCATCTCCACTACAAAGGGAAAGGAATTAAAAGTGATTCACTCGTTACCACCAATACATGAGCCCTTGAACAAATTTCCCTCAAACTCCAGCCTTAAATGCTAACATTCCTTTTTATTTAAAGTCCTACAAAAAGAAAAAATGAGCCCAAGTATAGTGGTAACTGTGAGGAGAGACCTATAAATTACCAGAACAGGGACTACAATTCTCATTCTGAAAAGGAAAGTAACTGCACCAAGGGCTTAAGTTTTCATCAGAAACTCTAATTCTTAAATATCATTTCAGCACTAAATACAAAAACAGAAGAAGGATGTCAAGTAGGGAGCAAATAAAACTCCATGTTAAGTAAAAACACAAAACAAGGGGCCAAGGAAATATGAGCTAATTTTCATTCCAGCAGATTATGAGTGCTCAAATAAAGTGTTCCTAATTCCTGAGGTGTATCAGTAAAGCCAGATGCTAACCTCACAGAAATGTCCAAAAAGAAAACCCTTCTGCCTGAAATGGGTCACAAACAACACTTGCTCCAACGGCTGGGGACTTAGCTCAGTGACCAAAGTGCCTGCCTGGCAAGCGCAAGGTCGTGAGTTCAATCTCTGCTACAAAAAAAAAAAAAAAAAAAAAAAACCAAACACTTGCTCCAGGGAGGGGGAGGGTTATCTGCAGAGAAGTCACCCGGGGAGGGGAAGAGGACCCGTGAAAGCTGCCCCTCCACTAGGTCGGGGCCAATCACAGGCTGTGCTTCTAGAAGCCTGGGCCGTGGAGCCTGTGCTGCAGATGATCTCCCATTTCAGTAAACCAAAAGCTACCTTTTCATGTGGCATCGAAGGTTTAAATGCTGACAGCTACATCAGAGACACTGAATACAAGTCAAAGTCTACCGTTGAAGGTCATAACCAGCGGCCTGAGAAGCCGTACTCAGAAAGGAGCATCTGGGATTATATACTACAGGTCTGTGTTTAGAAAAGTTAGTTCCACTTCACTACGAGGCGGCACACAACCCCCATCTGCCTCTGCCCAGGAGCAAGCTCAGCTACAGCACTTCAGGCAAGGGCTGCCTAGCATCTCTAAGCTTCAGTTTCCTCATCTGTAGAAAGAGAAAATAATGTCTTCTTTAGATGCAAGACCTCAACTACATATCTAGTATCATTTAAAGTAAGTTGCTTTTTTTTTTTTTTTTTTTTTGTGTCTTTTTCCTTTTTATCGGTACCAGAGATCGAACTCACGACTGCCTGCTTGCAAGGCAGGCGCTTATGCCGCTGAGCTAAATCCCCAGCCCCCAAGTTGCTTATTTTTGCTCTAGTATATAGAGGAATACTTAAGTTCCAAAGAAAACATACACAGTAGACGAAGACATTAGCTTTTAATTTTTTTTTTTTTTTTTTGTCATCCTGCAAAGAAAATATTATCTTGCCTCCCTCCTAGACAACAGACAACAGACACTGGGCTATGGCATCCACACAGACACAGGACAAACGCAAGATCAAAGCAGCAAGGAGTGACTCGCTGGAAAATGGGCGGAAGCAGCTAAACCTCGAAGGACAGCATTTGACTACTTTACAAAGAAACCTAGTCTTTCCGATGGACGTGCACACAAAGGTCAAGCCTCTCGTTTTCCTCACCTGACATTTACTTCACAAGCTATTAAAATGTCCAGTTAGGAGGCAAGTTCACTTTTAACTGGAAACCATAAAAGCAGTGCCACCATGTGACAGTGGCCAGGGCTGCAGGCCGCATCCTGAAACAAAGCACAAACTGCCAACCTGGAAGCAAGTTCCCCGCGTGGAGCACGGAGCCAGGGACAGAGGCCAGATGCTGCCTGCTCTGAGGTCCCCTTTCCCCACCACGCACGGCAACCGCACAGTGCAAAGCCGCAGAGAGCCCCGGGAAGGGAGCCCCATGTCGCCACAGTGGCCACGGCACCTGCACAGGACCTGTGACTGCCAGGTTGTTTGCAGGGTCACCAGCACCCACCCAGCAACAAAGCCTAACCCAGACAGTCACATTTACATGAAATCAGATCCTCAAGGACCAAAGCATTAGGCTCTAAAACTGAAAATCAAGAGTGGCTCAAAACACTAGAATTTTCACGTATTTTAGAAAACATACAAGGTCAAGAAACCTGACTGGTGCAGTTATTACTGATTTCCACTTTCTCTTCCTGTCAGTTTCCAGCTCCCTTCACAAAAGATCGCGCTGTCACAGGTTCACAGGAGGGCAAGCACAGTACCCTCTCTCGCAATCTCCCAAAAAATCTATTCAATTTTTTAAGTGACTGAACAAACTATTCAGTTCTCTCCCAAAAGGATTTGTTGAGAAAAATTTCAAAGTCAATCCCTGTTTTTTCTTTGAATCTGTTCATTTTTAAGATTTTGTGATTGCTGCTACAGTGGTTTACACCTGTAATCCCTACCGTATGGAGGCTGAGGCAAGGGGACCTCAAGTTCATACCTGGTCAACTGAAGACGACCAAGTCTCCAAATAAAAAATAATCAATCTACAGATGGTGACGCACAGCTGGAATCCAGCACACAGAAAGGCTAAGTCAAACGGATTCTAAATTCAAGTCTTGCCTGGGCAATTTAGTAACTTGGCACAATCCTGTCTCCAGATTAAAAAAAAGAAAGAGAGTAAAGAAAGGCTGAGATGTAGTTCGAAAGAAGGCCCTAGGTTCAGAATGCCTGGCACCAAAAATTAACCAACTAAATTAAAAAACAGGAAGGGGTTAAGGGGTTTAGGTCAGCATCACAAGTGCCTGGCCTACCAAGTGTGGGTTGTGAGTTCAATGTCCAGTATTAAAAAGAAACAGGAAGGGTTGGGGACATAACTCAGTGGCACTGTGCTCACCTGGTCACTGAGCTCAAGCCCTAGTGGGACTGCTAAAACCAAAATCTCACCTTTAAGCAGCAGCATTTCTACAAATTCTGTATCACAAATGAAAAGGGTCAGCAGGACTGCAGCTGGCACTGGTGTCCACAGGACAAGAGATGGTGGTGAACTCTCTGCCTAAAAGCTGTCTGAACAGCATGGTAGTAAGTATTACTCTTCAATATGAAGTCTTTTCTACACTTCCAACAAGTACCATGGCAGATTAGGTGAAAAATTCCTCTCAAAGAAATTTTGGAAAGAATATCAAAATACAAATTTATTTTTCTCTAGTTAATTATTATATTACTGCTGGTACAAGGGAGAATGACAGCAGTTTCCAAAGAGGGAAAAAACAGAAGTAACCAAGACATCAAGAATGATGGCTCATCTTTCAACGAGCATAATCAAGAAGTATTTTCGTGGCCTCGGCTGAACTGCAGAACGTCAGCTCTGGATTAACAGCCGACCTACGAAACACGCACAGAGAAACAGACTGAAATTTGGCGGTTTTGATTCAAAGAAGAAAAAGGGCCACTACTGAATACAAATATATGCAAGACCACCAATCAATACTCATTCAAGATAAAGAAGTCAAAGATTCCCTTCACAGAGTCTGAGCTCTCAACACACCGTAGGAAAAGCTACCATCTGGGTCACCAAGCTGCCTCTGCATCAACTGCAGCTGCTGTGGGTGGAGGAGACCTCTGAGTCCCTTGTTTGAGGCTGCAGTTTGGTTTACAGGTTTCACTCCTTCAAAGCACATGTCCTCCTCTTGATCTGACATGTATCCTGGGGGGCTGGGGACACCATCCAGCGTCACTATAAACTTGGGACTTGCAGGTTTATCTGGTTGTACAAGATCTCTGCCAGACAGATAAAAAATACCATAGAATTAGGGAAGCAAACACAAAATGCTGAGACTCCTACAGTGCTCTCAAGCAGAACTAGTCTCCCTTACTTTGCGTCTCATTCAGTTAAACAAAAACAAAAACAAAAACAAAACAAAACAAAAGACTTGGAGGGACCTCCAGGTACCACACTGTGGATGGAGCCACTGCGGCATCAGCACCAGTGACCTTCCAGCCTATATTAAGGACAACCTCCCCTCAACCCTGCTCCACTGTCCATTTCATGCTCATTCGGTCAACATGGAACCAGCTAAAAACCTGGCTCAGATACTCAGAACACAATGGCCAGAAGGTCTGTGTTCACAGATTTTTTTTATCTGTCTGTTCCTTTAAGGAACATGGAGTCCATTTTTTAAGGGAAAAATGACCCAAACCCAATTTAATTCCCATTAAAAGACTAATTGTGGCCACCTGGTTTTTAAAATTTCATTTTATGTGGCTGAGGCAGAAGGACCACTGTGAGTTCAAGGCCAGCCTGAACTGCATAGTGAGACCCTGTCTCAAAAAAAAAAAATTCATTTTAAGAATGCACATTTTGGGGGCTGGGGATTTAGCTCAGCGGCATAAGCGCCTGCCTTGCAAGCAGGCAGTCGTGAGTTCGATCCCTGGTACCGATAAAAAGGAAAAAGACCAAAAAAAAGAATGTGCATTTTGCACTAGGGATAGCCCAGCGGCATGAGCACCTCCCTAACAAGCATGAGGTCATGAGTTCAATCCCTAATACCAAAAAAAAAAAACCAGTCTTACTAATGGAGTTAAGTAATACACTGAGTTTTTATTTGTAGATTAATACACTTTGGAACAAGTAGAATGAACTAGAATTTTAAAAACTGAATTTGGCTATTTATGATCTCGCTGCTCAACAAAAAAGGTTCTATTGAGTGCTGAGGCAGGGAAAAGGGAACTGGGAGCTAACAGCCAGCCTGCACTATCTAAGCACACAAATTAGCTACACAAGAAAAAGAAACCATCTACCGTGTCTGCATAAGGTGTCCTGAAAGTACCCGAAGGGTATCTGCAGTCTTCATCCCCGACTCTTGGTTTGGTGCCACTACTATTTCCTCAGACAGCTTTGGCTTCTTCAGAATAAATGATCTTGTGTCTGCATGGACCATGGATTCCATGTCATAGTAATCTGAGCCAAAAAAATTGGCCATAAATGTTTGCTTTTGAATAAATCTTTTATTCCCAACATCATACATGTGATACGAATGTCAATCTTTTATATATTCATACTTATTTTTTAAAAATCGTAACTGACTCTATTTGGGAAAAGGGCTGCAATGCTATTCCAAACACCACTGGAAGAACTCAGGTGGAACTCTCCTCATAGCGTGCATCACAAGTAATTCAACGAACACTCCTGGCCTGAGGTAGAGAGAGAAAGGCTCTCCTGGGAGGCTGCTGGCGGGATATTAACAATACGCACTACAGACATAGAGAATTTAAGAATCTTAAGGTTTTCTAAAATTCTGATTCACAGATTACTGAACTGTTTTTCTAAAATCTGTTGTTTAGTTTGCACAGTACCATGTACAGAAAACACATGTTTGAAGAAAAATTCATATGGCACAGTTTCCACCTGCTTGCAGAGGACTACACTGAAGAAAAGGTTGAGGGGAATGAGTGTAACACCACACAGCTCACTCATCTGCACACGGCTGGCCTGGCAACATGCCTCCAACTGACCAGTGCCAAGGAGCTCCTTTCAAAGCTAGCAGGTAATCAGGACAAAATTCACAGGACATCCACCCATTGACTAAAATCAAAGAGTAACAGTGTGATAGTTACACAAGAAGGAAAAAGAAAAGCAGCTGAACAGCTGCAGAACCTGACCCTCAAGGGGATCAACACAGCCGGCAAAGCAAAACACAGCTTCTGCGGCTGAGGAAGCTGGCCGAGGAGGGGAGTGGGAAGTGGGCCCCAGAGGCGGCAGCGGGAGGCGACCCGGAGAGGGGACGAGGGGACGGAGAGCAGCAGGCACCGCAGGCACGCGGCAAGGCAGGGCTTCTCCGGGAGGGGTCTGGGAAGCAGGAGAGACCTGGCATGGCTGGAAGAGTGTGTGGGGAGCCGGGTGGCGAGTGGCAGGGAAAACTGAGAATATGCTCAAGGACCTCATCTCGGCATTTTCAGTTTTGGTCTAAGTCTAAGTAGTAAGAAATCAAACGAGGCTCCTAAGCGAGGAAGTGATACAGTCACACTGGTTTTCTAAAAAACGACGCCAAGAACTTGCAGTGGTGCACAGCCATCACACCACTATCTGGGAAGCTGAGGCATAAGGGTCACAAATCTGAGACCAGCCCAGGCAACTAGCAGACCCTGTCTCAAAAGGAAAATGCAAACCTGAGCTGAAAGTGGCTGGGGATGCACTCAGCACACCCAGAGTTCAATCTCCACTCTCAAAGGAGGAAAACACCTCGCAATGGCCGGGCAGGACGGACGGTAAGAGGAGACAGGCAGAGGGCAGGAGTTGCTGAGACATAAAGCACAGGAAAGGAAGACGAGCAGATTTGAAAGGTGGCAAAGGTAAATTTCAAATGTTTAGATTGTATTTAGTTTGAAGTCATTTGTGGCAGTTTTACAGGTTATGAGCAAATCAAAATCTCACATCTGACTGGGGTGGGGTGGACTTAAAAGCAGCACAGGGGAGACGAGCAGGTAACTGCGCAGGTCTCGCTGCCGCCCCCTCAGGGTACCCGGGAGGCGCTAGGAGTCTCCCTCCGTCACTAATGAGCAACTTGTTCCTCACACCTCTCCGCACCGCACCGGGTCCCCAGCTGGCAACAGCAGAGCCTGCACTGCCCAGCAGCCACGCCTGTCTTCCCTCCAAATACGCTCTCTGAGTCACAGCAGTTTCACTAGCTCACATCCTGGGAAAATACTGACGGATGAACTCATGCTGAGGATGGGACACAGTATGAAGCTCCCCTTTTAAGGAGCAGTAGAGAAGAGATGACAAAAAAGAGTGCAAATGAATGACAAGAGCTGCCGGGGCAGTACATATCTGTAATTCCAGCTATTGAGAAGGCTGAGGCAAGAGGGTCACCTTAAGTTCAAAGTGAGGCTAAGCAACTTGGCCAAGATCCTGTTTCAAAATAAAATTTTAAGAAGATCTGAGTATAGCTCAGCACTCCCTGGGTTCACTCTCCAGGATCATAAAAAAAAGGGAAAAAAAGTGACAAAAAAAACCAACGAGAGTCAGGCATTTAGCTCAGCAGCATAAGCTCCTACCTGGCAAGTGCAAGGTCATGAATTTGACCCCCAGTACCAAAAAAAAAAAAAAAAAAAGTACAAATAATACAGGTCAAGAATGAGTAACAGTCCACTATTATGAGCCTGGAGCAGGCCAAAGAGGTAACAAGAGGATATTATGAGTACTTTAAGTACATGTTCAAAACTAAATGGGAAAATTTCCTTTTAAAAAAAAAAAAAAGAATGAAAATATAAAGTGAAACCCAAAGGATCAGATTGAAGAAAACCTGGGAACGTGTCATATGTACTCAGGCAAGAGTGCAATGAAGCCAGGCGTGGTGGCGCACACCTGCAATCCCAGCACTTGGGAGACTGAGGCAAGAGGATTGCCGTGAGTTCAAGACCCTGTCTGAAAAACAAAAACAAAACAAAATAAAGAACTATAAAGGAGAGAACCGCAATTTCAAAACAGAAAACAGATCAGTAAGAGCTAACTTAGTAGATCAGCAAACATGGAATTCTAAACCAATAATGAAGCCATCCACCTTAGATCACAAGAGGGTTCAAAGGCTGAAGAACTGGCAGCAAAGGGACCTTGAAAGGGTGGAAAGGACAAGAGCTGCAGGGTCTGCTCAGGAGGCCGGAAGCGGGCGGGGCGTCCTTCCCAGACTCCTCAGCACGCCCGGCCAGCTGCAGACACTGCCACAGACGGGCACTCTCTGAAAACCCTCTGTGCCCATGACACACTTCTGCCCTTGGGCTCTTGACAAGAGCCACACTGCCAGTCTGTGCAACAGGGACGCCAGCCACGCTGCAAGAAGCCAGCACAGAAACGAGGGGGCAGTGGCCGGGCCCGGCCTTGCTCCTGTGAGCTATCTCAATTCCAGCACCCCGGCTTTTCCTTTGCAGACCTCTGGACAAGTGAACTGGCCTGCAAGGTCTGAAAGGCTAAAGGCAGCAGCAGCAGCAGCAGCATGCCCTACATCACTCTCCACAACATCCACATTAAAACATGAAGGCTAAGGGTCCCGCACCCCAACTCATAAACCCAGAACAGCCGTCAGCTTTTTAAGAGTTCCACTCTTACATCCCAGATCACCATGACCCCAACATGCAGAGCTTTCATCAGGACACAACCAAGCTGAAGAAAACAAAATCGGGACAGAAAGGAAAAAATGTTCAAATAACCTTTAATATCCTCAGAAAAATAAGAAAAAGTATATATGCAAGAAACAAAATCGGTCTGTTAAAAAGGAGTTGTACGTGGTAAAACACGCCTATACCCGCCACACTCTGGAAGGCGGAAGCAGGAGCCCCGAGAAGAAGAATCCAAGATGGAGCCCAGGCTAAGCTACTCAGCAATACGGCAGGCAGGACCTTGTCTCAAATCAGAAATTCAAAAAGCGCTGGTATGCTCACCTGTAATCCCAGCACTCTTGAGAGGCTGAGACAGAAAGATCTGAGCCCAGTCGGCCTGGCATTTCGGCAACTTGGTGAGACTCTGTCTCAAAATAAAAATATTTTAACAGAGCTGTCGATGGAGCTGTATGTAAAGCCCGGGTTCACTGCCCAATGGGGGGACAGGGTGTACTACAAATTATTTTTAGGGATAATGAAGTATTTCTGAATGCACCATTAATGTGACATCAGGTTATACTTTGTGGATATTTCATTATACACTTAAAAATGTTTTTTTTTTAAATAAATAAATAAAAATCTTTGATTTTGCAGCTGGCTACAGTGGTGCATGCTACGATCCCAGCACTCTGGGAATCTAAGGCAGGGGATCAGAAGCTCCCCCTAGCGTGGGTAATTTAGTTAGCAGGGAGCGAGTGGGGATGTAACAGCACTAAGGCCTTACAGAATATAGAAAACAGAAGGGCTCTCACAAAAAAAAAAAAAAAAAAACCTGATGGAGGTCAAGGACTGTGGTCATTCACAAGCCTCACAGAACTTCCTGCTGCCTCAAATTGTACATGCAACAAGTACAGAAAGAGTAAATATAAAGAAAAAAGCTACCAAAGCAAACACAGGAACTGACAAAGTGAACAAGACACACACAGTCCCTAACTGCCAAACTCCCTGGGACATTCAACGGAAACAGAATGGAAAGTCAGAAGAGAGAGCAAACCAAGGATAAAGATTATATAAATACTTTACAAATGTAAGAAACAAGCCAGAGGCGAGACTATGGCAGCACGATCATGTTCATCAGATGGGCGGGCAGGCCCTGGTGTCTGGATGGTTAACCCTGAAGAGGAAAATCACACCTGTCTCAGACTTGAAGCCTAGGTGGGTCAGGGAAAAGTCACTTCCTAGAGTCCTGGCAGGGAGAAAGCTCAGGAAAGGGATAAAGGGACCCAATGAAAAAAGGTTCCAGCAAAGGGCAGACTTAGGGGACACAGAAGGACAGAAAGACTTCCACCATCTAATGGTTCCCTGCATCTATTAGGCAGCAGGGCAGGGCCTGCATGCTGAGGACACCAGGCACCTGCCCTAGTCCCGAAGCAGCCTGTGATATGTCTATCAGGCGTGGCAGAGAGTAACAATGACATGACAGTGGCTCCAGGCAGGGGTGGCTTAAGACTTAAAAAGTGAAGTCAAAACGAAGATAAAGATGAACCAGGGAAGCAGAGCGTACAAAAGCAGCTCAGGGCAATGGCAGAGGCAGGGCAGAGAGGCGGAGCAAGTCAGGTGAGGCACACAAGCAGTCCATGACAGCACCAGAGTGAGCAGCCAGGGGTCCAGGAGGAATGGCATTTAATGAAGTTTTTAATATGCAAAAACCAAAATAACCATACAACATGAAGAACATGCAGAGCTTCTCTCTTGCCCTAAAATACTTTCACAAATCTGTATGTGGCATCTTAGGGCGGGAGCTAAATCATAAAAGATGCACTGAATGAGGTGTAAGCAATGAGGGTGGCAACAGAAAATCGCTGGTTTACAATGAAAATTTAAGTGTCACCAACCTTGACTCTGCAGCGTTTCTGCCATGACTGGGTCAATTTGCAGTCGGGATAACAACTGCCTCTGCTGAGCACCTAGAATATAAATTTTAAAACTTCACTAAGCTTAAAACATAAATGCCAGCGTTCATTTCCCAGAAATTAATCTTGTTGGATTTCAGAAAATCTTCAAAATAAAGCTCCAAATATGTAAACTGTCAATCACTGGCACACCCCAAAACAAAAAGTTGTGCTTAGGATTAACCCAGAAATGGCAATGAGGACAAAGCCCTGGCTCTTCCTCGGTGAGCTGGCCACGTTTCTTGGATGGGAAGTAAAGCCTAAAAGAGAAGTTAAGGTAAGGATGGAGCAGTCAGCAGGTCCTTGAGTGCTGCCACCCAGGGGATGGGCCGGTCAACTAACTGGCAGACAACACAAGCAGCATCTCCCACTCCCTCCTCTACACCAACCCCCATCTCTCTCAAGACAACAAAACAAAACTCCAAAGTTCTCTCATTATGAAATTCCCAAAAAAACCTAAGGGTTCAGGAGGCTGCAAAAACAACAATAAGCAAGACTAACACTCAAATACGGCAAAATTCTACAGTCCAAGGCCCTAAAATCTGCAAAACATGAAAATGTAATCAGCACGCCGTGCAACATCACAGCCATCCTGGCCCGCACACAGGACACTGGTCCCCTAGGATTGTACCACACAGTGAGGCAGTAGCTATTCTAGTTTCCTTAAGCACACGCTACAGCGGCACCCTGATGGAAGTGCCTAAAACACATCTCTTGGACCATGCCCATTGTTAGGCATGAATGTAATTCTCTGGATCTGCTACATGAAAAGATGCTCAGAAACGGGACATGGTAGTGCACTCCTGCAATCCTAACTCTCTGAGAGACTGAGGCAGAAGGATCAAGGTGAAGCCCAACACGGGCAACTTAGTACTTACCAAGATCCTGTCACAAAATAATCACAAAAGGGACTGGAGAAGCAGCTCCGTGTGGAAACCTAAGATTCAATCCCCACGATAGCCAAAAACACCCAAACAACATAGCCAACTAGGGTATTTATCATCCTTTCCTCATAAAGCTCACAGAATCAATTCTCAATATGAGGCCCATAACGTTAATTCTTATCAATATTCCTAATTGCCACACTGTATAAAGCAGTAAAGAACTATCTTCACAAGCTGCTTGAAGAATGGGAAAGATCTCCACGCTTCCCTGCACCCCACAGTGCCTGGCAGGTGTCAGGTACCACCAGCTAATGTAGGAGGACAGTGTTACATTACAGTGTAAAAGCGGGGACACAAGCGGTAAAGTTGCAAAGGCTGCAATCTTAGTACGATGTTTTCACGCTGATTTTTAGTGCGTATCTGTGCTGTGTGGCTTCACAAGGACAATAACATGTAAGTACCTTTCATTGCAGGATACTTTTAAATTACAAAAATTATGTTCAATTTGACATCTTATTATTTTCCATTAAAACATGTTATATTACATTACCCCTGTAGTGGTATGTCCAAAAAGGGTAAATTTCTTCTAGAATTATCATGACAAAAACACATATCCTGAGGAACAGACCTGAAATCCAACTGTTGCTTGGTCACATTATATTCTTTGGGACAATCTGGGAAACTGACATTACGGAATATAGAAAAAATGCTCTTAAATACAAGTACCAGGTTCAAATATTACTACAACAGATCTCTTTAACGTATTTAACCAAGGAAAAAAATCACACATTTTAAAGAAACCTCACACAGATCCTGAAAGAGGTCTGGTATATCGTACTTCAAGGGTTTCATCTTCATGTTCATCAGTCATTTCAAAACATCACCTTGGAGAGCTTCTCTAAGATGGAATTCTGATAAATTCTAGGTTTTAAATTGAATCACACACACACAACTAAAATCCATGAAAACTTCACTTCTCTATGCAGTGCTGCTTCTGCATCAGACCTACACTTAAAAGACATACGGAAAGATACAGGAGAAAGGATAGTATCTAGAAAACATCAAAAGGGTTTACCTTTCTCAGTATTTCTAAGGAAGTTGATTATTTTTACATCACTATCCCTTGACTGTGATTCAAAATCTATCTCAGCTTGCAAATCTTCCAATTGTCTGTTGCATTCAGATGTTGATGTTGAATATTCATTCATTTTAACCTCCAAAGAGGAAATTTTTGCTTCATTCTGTGACATTCTAACATTTAGGTCAAAAAGATTTGCTTCTACTGTCAAAATTGCTGCTTTCATTCCTTTAATTTCATTGACATCCGTCGATATTTTTCTTAAAAGGTGGGAAATATTATCTAGCTCATTTAGTGAACAAGAGAAATTTGTTACAGAACCTACATCAACTGGTTCCGGTGAGAGGAAAACTGGTAGAGATGGTGACTGAAATCTTGAAGACATTTTCATAAAATTTTAGTATCTGGGAATTTTTCCTTCACAGCCCATTAAATTGTCTCATCAAAAGCAAAAGCAATGATCAATGCTGTTACCTTACGAAGTATTAAGAGTGACTAACATTTTAAAACCTGTAACTGGAAAAACAAGGTTGTACATTCTAGTCAGAAAATCTGAAAATGCTGAACACAGCAGAGCAATTTTTCTGTTTGCTACAACTCAGAAGTCCTGTTATGTAGCCACTGCAGCCTACTTGTAGCTCCTCGCCTAGTAACCCCATTATTACATACAAAATAATTCTTGCTTCTGATTGGCTGAAGAGAGACATGTGACATGCAAAGAATTTTCTATTATCTACCTCACATGATGGAAACACTAAAGAGATGTACCATAAATTAAGCAATATATTGCTAAGCACTTTATGTCTGAATAATATAAATGTACTTTTGCCCTTTTGTCCATGAAAGCATAACTTTCAAGCCTTAGACTCTTAGTTTTACAGCATCTTAAATTTCATTTACCCACTTTTTTTGGTACTGGGGGTTGAACTCATGACCTTACACTCAGACAGGCACTTATGGCACTGAACTAAATCCCCGGCTTCATTTATCCTTGAAAACAGTACAGTAATACAGCAGTTGTCAAACTCAATTCATTCCAAATTCATGTGTGAATACCACAAAGAAAACTGCAAATATTTTCCCTATAAGAAATAATGGAAAACCAAATAACTGGTTCTAAGGCTTCCAAAGTACACTTTTAAATTTGTTTTTCCAGGACTTTAACAAATTTTGCAGTGATTTAACTCTATCATGGTTCTGACAGTTTCCCTCTTAGCTTTACTGCTGGTATCACTAACTTTCTTTGGAGCCATGGTTATGTTATTTTCCACAAACAGCTCACTGAAAAAAGCACAATGACAAGGTTTTAATGCAGGAACTCAAGCACCATGTGCTGACTGAAAGCTGAAGGGTCACCCTTCTGTGCGCCCAGTGAGGCAGACGCCTGACTCACTCTCAGACCATTGGGTTTTTTCAGGTTGGATTTTTAGTCTGACTATCAAAGAAAGTTACAAATATCAAGCCTTTTTTTTCCAAACTTCGCTGTTGTGAGAAGTGGAAAGTTCAAGCTTAGAGGCATCTGACAACTGAGGCTTGGCATTACCTTTACAGAGAAAGAGGACTGATCACAGACTAGCTCTTTAAAAAATTGGGGCTGGGGACTGGGGATTTAGCTCAGCGGCATAAACGCCTGCCTTGCAAGCAGGCAGTCGTGAGTTCAATCCCTGGTACCGATAACAACGAAAAAGCCAAAAAAAAAAAAAAAAAAAAATTGAGGCTGGGGATTTAGCTCAGCAGCATAAGCGCTTGCCTTGCAAGCAGGCAGTCATAAATTCAATCCCCAGTATTGATAAAAAGGAAAAAGACAAAAAAAAAATCATTACGTGGGGCCAAGGATTTAGCTCAGTGGCAAAAGTACTGCATGACAAGCATGAGGTCATATGAGTTCGATCCCTGGTACAAAAAAAAAAAAAAAGGTCGTTATGTAGCAATAAAGGAAATCTATCACACTAACTTGAGTTTAAGGATGGAGAAATAAGAACTCGGCCTTGTTTTGACACAAAACTATTACTAGATACATGATTCTCACATACTTTCTCCCATCCTATGGGTTGTCTAGTCACATTTCTATAGTATTCTTTGAAACACAAATTTTAAAAATTTTGTTGAAATCCAATTTATCTATTTTTTCTTTCACTGCCTTTGCTTTTAGTGTCACTACTAAGAAATTGAACCCAAAGGCCATACAGACTTATGTGGGGGAGGGTGTTTTGTTTTCCTAATGGTTTAGTAATAATTCAGGTTTTTGTTTTCTCATTTTCAGCTCTTAAATGCAAGTGTTTGATCAATTTTGAGTTACTTTTATATAGTTAATAAAGGGTCCAATTTCACTCTTTTGTGTGGACCTCCAACAGTCTTAATACTATTCATTAAAAACTATTCTTTCTCCATTAAACTGTCTTAGCACGTTTGCCAAAAATCAACTGGTCATAAATATATGGGTTCATTTCTGGGATCTTGATCCTGTTCCAGTGGAATGTCCGTATCACCAGACTGGATTACTATATTACAGTTTTATACGGTTTTGAAAAACAAATCTTTGAACATTATTTCTTTCCAGTAATTTTGGCTCCCTGAAGTCTCTATTTCCACATAAATTTTAGGATCAGATACCAATTTCTACAAAAAGTCCATCTGGAATTTCAATAGACACTGATATGAAACTGCCGACCAACTTGAGAAGCACTGATACCCTGAACAGTATTAATGCCTTCTGATCCATTTATATGGAAAATCTTTCCATGGCTTTGGTTTCAGATAAGTTGTTTTGACTTTGATTTACCCTCCAGCCAACAAACATGTCAACTGGTACAGATGCAAGCTGGTAAATAATACTTATCACAACCTTTTCAAAAGAAAAGCTTTGGTTTCTCTGTCAAATTGCTATTACTCATAATAACAAAGAAAAAGCTAATTGCTGAAATTTATATAACAATACTTATTTCTCCACTCTATCCATACATTAATTTTTCAAAGTCCAGACTAAGTATGTAAAACTGACCAGACTACAAATTCACGTATTTTTTTAAAGAGCACTAGCTGACGTCATCTAC